AGAGAGAGAGAGAGAGAGAGAGAGAGAGAGAGAGGCAGAGTGAGCGAAGTCAGAGAGAGAAGCGAGACAAGAGAGAGAGAGTGAGAGGGAAAAGATAGAAGCCATAGCCGCCACCTGATTGAGATCCGCTGTGTGTGTGGGTGTGCGGCATAGCCACTGGAGACAAACCTTCTTGTAAATTGATAATTATATTGGAGACGACATCTTCCAGTGTTGATTGTATCTCGATTTGGCTTCTCACATGTGATCTCTCATGTGAATGTTCATTGGTGTATGCTAGGTGAACTTGACGAGTACTTGGCTCATTTCAGTGGTATCAGAGCTGGTTCCCGCTGCATCCGCTCGGAGTTGAGACGCTGGCAAGGAAGAAGGCCGACGGGCAAAAGATATTGCGTTCCGAAATCGGGTTGAACTTTTGGTGAGGGCCGGCGGATGAAGGCGATCGAGGGCGGGGGGGCGTGCAGAGTGGTGCGTGTACCGAATTGTTCACAGCACGCCAGAAAACGAGAGAGTGCGCCCATGGGGCCGGGCGGTGGCGGGTGTAGATGCAAGGGAATATCTCGAAGCGGCCGCCGTCGATAGGCGGGCAGGGGCTGTTTTTCCTTTTTTTTCTTTTTCGTCGGGGCAGCAGTTTGTCGTCTCGTTTTTCATTTTCTTTTTCGTCGGGGCAGCAGTTTGTCGTTTTGTTTTTCATTTTCTTTTCATCGGGGCAGCAGTTTGTCGATTCGTTTTTCATTTTCTGCGGACATGGCCCGCACCGCCCGCACCGCGGGCACTTAGCTAGTATATATATATACAGGGTAACCGGCGTTCGGGATGGGCCGATAACAGTGGCAGCCCATAGCGAAGGAGTGTGGGTCTGAACTGACAATGAACTCAAGGGTCTACCAAATTTACCCTGAAACAAACGGACAGGCTGAAAAGATCAACAAAGGGTACATCTATTATGAAACTACATCACCCCAGACCAGTTAGACTGGGGTGAACACCTATTGCAAGTAGCTAGGCTGTACAAAAGTGTCATGCAGTCAGCTGCTGGCCAAACTTCAGGCCAATTACACCTTGGCTGGAAACCAAGAAGACCATTGCACTCCTTGTTTCCAGGCGAACGCCGGAAATATCCACTGGATCTACATGATTTGCAGGCGAATGCCGGAAATACCCTTTGGAACTACATGATTCGCACAGCAGTGTAAACAGTTGCTGCATAAAACTGTTCAGCAACTACGGAAATCTCAGCATGTGATAATCGAATAAGATAACGAACATAGATTAATAGATATGTTCCAGGTTGGCGGTCTAGCTTCGGTTAAGCCATCGGAGTTTACACCATATGAGCATGTCTCAAAGTTGATCCCACAATACTACATACCGTGGACAGTCTTAGATATTGTAGGAGATTAAGCAGATGGGTACTACTTATGTCATTGACGATCCCCCTCACCTTTTTTACTTACCTGACTTTTCACACATCCAAACTGTTACCTTCTTCAGTGAACTGTCAATTTCCCTCACGAAAGTCAATGCTACCTCCCTCCATGGACGGCCATGTTGTCGTGGATTCTATCCGAGAGCATTGGTCCATGCTGTTGCCTAAGCCAAAAGGCAGAGAACCACCACCAAAGCCACAAATGCAGCTCGGATGCTGTTCAGACGTCACCTGGATCCAAGCGAAGATCAGTGGTTCACGGAACAGGAACTCATGAAATCTACTCCCCAAGTGGTCACAGGATATGAGAGAGCTCTCCAAAGAAAGCTACGGCAAGATTGAGAATAACATAGAGGACTACAAACCCAAGGGGGTGGGAGTGTAAGGCCCGTAGGTGCAGCACGCAGTTCAGGGCCGATAGCCCTTCAGTCCCTGGTCCATGAGATACATGGCTGGTAGGTCCAGGTGTGGACCTGGTAACACTGCATGACATGGTGGGTTATGGCTGACTCTGGAAACTTTCAGTAGGCAGTGCCTACCAGCCGAAGGAAGACTTGGGAACTTTGTGTAGGTCTAGGCCAGGTAAGTCAAGGGGACATTAGGACTGATACAGCGCTAGGTCAACTTGCATGAGCAGCAGGAAGGGGACAATACAATTGCCAGCGCCATATCAGTATGCATTGGAATGGAAGCTGGCTGCCAAGCTGGTTGGGCACCATGTGTCATAGGTGGTGGTCAGACAGAGGTGGTCCTTGGGTAGTTGAGGAAGACCATGACAAAAGTTGGCAGACACTCACCTGGTGGTTGGCAGGGAGAGCTCCAAGCAGGGGCAGACTTTTCTAGCAGTCATCGGCAGCAGTGGACAGAGCTCAGCAGCATGGTGGATGAGATAGATAGGCTAGGCTAGGCAGTAGTATAGGGCAAGGGTTACCTGAGGGGGAAACTGTATTGGTTGGATGGAGCTGAGAAGAGGTCTTTCATAATCAAGAGACTTCAATGTCGCATAAGTCCCTGTTTTTATTATTATTATTATTATTATTATTATTATTATTATTATTATTATTACTAGGATACCAGAGTGGCCCGGGGTCACTTGCCCAGCCGGGCCAAAAAAATAAAAAAAAATAAAAATGTGAGGATTGAGCCCTTAAGAAGGGGCCTTTCCATGATGAACATGTTCTGGGCTAAGGTCCCAGTAAGCCTAGTGCCCGCCCTAAGTGAAGGCGGGCCAGCAAATCAACAAGAGCCCTCTGTGCAAACATTTCACGAAGTGGGGTCCATACAGTTGCAGCACGCCAGTTGGTTGGTGTGCACCAAGTATCRGAGCTCTGCAMATGCAGAAAKCCCAGGGCCCCGAGTTGGTTAGGCCCTGGGCACATAAACGTGAGGCCGACAATGCATGCTGGATATAGAGGCCGAAAATGCCAAAGGGAAACCGGTCCACTATCTGAATCTGGCCGCAGGCCTTGACGAAAGAGGCGCAACTGCATCTCCTGGGCCCCCAAATGCATCGGGCCTGGGTACAGGCACTGGGGCCCAGACACAGGCTCAAGGGAGGCCGCCCACACGCAACACTGGCATATAGGCAAGCAGGGCGAGTGGGCAGGAATCTTGGCCAATGCGAGCATTGCCGGCACGCTGCGCGAATGCGAGCTGCTGCGCTGCTGCGCTGCGCTAGGCTGAGGTGAGAGACAGGCAGGCGCTAGGCGGTAGGGCGCTGCCTGTAGACAGGGCGCTGGCGGCCATAGCCGGGCTGCCTGAGGGCGCAGGGGAGGTGAGGGCGAAGGTGGTTCTTCGGAGGTGAAGAGCGCTGTGAGGGATAACAAGGGAGAGTGAGGGTGAAGAGAGAGGACGTACCTGGTGGAGAGGAGGTCGGCATTGGAGTTGACATCATCACTCGCTGGTCGTCAAGTTGTCTGGTTGCTTTCATTGCTGTAGTTGTAGTGATAGGCTGTAGAGTAGGTAGGGCGCCTGGCGCCATTCAAGAGAGAGAGCTACATTGGGTTATGCTGTTGGTGTTGCCTGATTGGGCTTGGACATTGACTCACGATTCTTCTGTATCGTTCTCAAATGGATGGTTACTCGGTTCCATTGTGCTATCTGCTCTTGCTTTGACTACTTGGACTTCAGTGTGATTTTGCAATCTGGATTTCTGTGCTTCGTCCACATTCATGTTCCTTGCAAAAATAAAAAAAAATATTTTTAATTTTTATTTTTTATTCTAAATTTGGTGAAGAATTTCGATGTGACCCTGAGGCAAAAGTTGTTCAGTTTATTTTTCTGCACAACATAGTTTTTTTTCGGATTTTTTATGTATATATATATATTTTTTTTGCTGGGACCTTCCCTGGTCCTTGCACGGGCTGGCCACCCGGGACCCGGGCTTCCCGGCTGGTAGCCTATTATTATTATTATTATTATTATTATTGTTATTATTATTATTATTATTATTATTATTATTTTTTATTTTTTATTTTTTATTTTGTATTTTTTTTTTTAAACAGAACCTCGTGTTTCTGGCTCCTACCATTCTGGGGAGCAACAGTCCGGTTCCTTTCCCCCATAATGGGGGGAGCGTGTGTACGTCACTTATGTATCTCTTATTGGCCACTCAATAAGAGATACATAAGTGACGTA